TCTTTTTTCTCCTCCTCTCCCCTCATCTATTAATTAAATTGTTTTCTGACCTTCCTAACTGTTTCCGACCTGTCTTCCCAATGTGATGTTTAAGCAATATATGTATGGTCAGAAGGGGGTGAAATTTTCATTGCAGTTGTACGTGTAACATTGCATGTGATAATAAAAGGCTTGATTGGTTGATTATTCAACATGAGTTGACATTTACCTGACATTGTGAAGGAGTCACAGTTTCTGTAAGGGTGTAAGAACATAACATGTGGATTTGTTACACTTCTTTTTCACAAGTTAATAACAATCAATAATTTTCATTCCATTATTTACAAGCTATCACACGATGTCCCAGGGACAACATCTACACGATGTCCCAGGGACAACATTTACACGATGTCCCAGGGACAACATCTACACGATGTCCCAGGGACAACATTTACATGATGTCCCAGGGACAACATCTACACGATGTCCCAGGGCCAACATCTACACGATGTCCCAGGGCAAATTCTACATGATGTCCCAGGGACAACATTTACACAATGTCCCAGGGACAACATTTACGCAATGTCCCAGGGACAACATCTACACGATGTCCCAGGGACAACATCTACACGATGTCCCAGGGACAACATCTACACGATGTCCCAGGGACAACAATTACACGATGTCCCAGGGACAACATCTACACGATGTCCCAGGGACAACATCTACACGATGTCCCAGGGACAACAATTACACGATGTCCCAGGGACAACATTTACACGATGTCCCAGGGACAACATTTACACGATGTCCCAGGGCAACTTCTACACGATGTCCCAGGGACAACATTTACACAATGTCCCAGGGACAACATTTACGCGATGTCCCTGGGACAACATTTACGCGATGTACCAGGACAAATTTGTAAATTTCTGGATTACTGTTAATCTCCATAGAATCAAGAACTCATGTCCAGTTTCACAGCTATGGACCAGTTAATTATGTTTCCAGGTGATAGTTTGATTCATAGATTCAGCACACAACCATAAGTCTAGGCCTTTTAGTCCAGATTCTCTTCACTTATGTTTGTAAAATGATCAGGGAAGCTACTGCAATTTTGCCTGACCCAACCCCCGGGCCACGAAACACCCAAAAAGTTGGGGAACGCTGGTCTAGAGAACACTGGTTAGCTAATGCTGTCGTCAAGTAGCCTATCGCTAGCAAACAAACAGCAAGCCAAGTGAGGAACATATGTATAATGCTTACCGTTTATTAAAGGAAAGTATCCTAAATTGACTTCAAATTCGGCGGACAGGCGAATTGACTTCAAATTCGGCGGACAGGCGGCGGTTTTTCGCTTCTTCACTTGTATTTCTACAATATAATCTGCACTGAAGCGTCACCCAAATAATGGACGTAGCATCATCACGATGACTGAAAACATGGCGTTGGTTCGGTCAGGCCACAAAGTCTCAAGTCACGAAGCTCAGTCACACTGTCAATCATATGAGCACATAACCAGACTCGGCAGTACTGTCTTTATTCTGCTACACATACAATTAACAACACATGGGATCTAACTAATGCAAAACCAATACACTACCAGTACTGAATACAGCACTTATAGACATACATGAGTTGATCAGTGCAGTCCTTTATTTTAAGAGTGTCCCAGGTCATTTAAAGTTTTTAATATGCTTAAAGAAATAGATATTCTCTTTTCTATATTGTGACTTTTTTTTAAAGTTGTAGTTCACTTGAGAGTATCTTAGGAACCATTGTTTGTGGTCAAAAACAAAACCATGTCTCCATTCAAAAAATGGGATGTGAGAGCTGAAACTTGTCATGTTATGCCGCTGTTACATGTCACAACAAGTTAAAACGTCAGTCGTACCTTTGGAAAAAATTCACCAGAATTCTCTAACCACTTCTCATTCCTTTATATTTTGATAGGAAAATGGAAAATAGCTACAGTGGGGCAAAAAAGTATTTAGTCAGCCACCGATTGTGCAAGTTCCCCCACCTAAAATGATGACAGAGGTCAGTAATTTGCACCAGAGGTACACTTCAACTGTGAGAGACAGAATGTGAAAAAAAAAATCCATGAATCCACATGGTAGGATTTGTAAAGAATTTATTCATAAATCAGGGTGGAAAATAAGTATTTGGTCAATAACAAAAATACAACTCAATACTTTGTAACATAACCTTTGTTGGCAATAACAGAGGTCAAACGTTTACTATAGGTCTTTACCAGGTTTGCACACACAGTAGCTGGTATTTTGGCCCATTCCTCCATGCAGATCTTCTCGAGAGCAGTGATGTTTTGGGGCTGTCGCCGAGCAACACGGACTTTCAACTCCGCCACAGATTTTCTATGGGGTTGAGGTCTGGAGACTGGCTAGGCCACTCCAGGACCTCGCCCGGGCAACAAAGGAGTTGCCCGGGCGGTGTGTTTGGGATCATTGTCATGTTGGAAGACCCAGCCTCGTTTCATCTTCAAAGTTCTCACTGATGGAAGGAGGTTTTGACTCAAAATCTCACGATACATGGCCCCATTCATTCTGTTCTTAACACGGATCAGTCGTCCTGTCCCCTTGGCAGAAAAACAGCCCCATAGCATGATGTTTCCACCCCCATGCTTCACAGTAGGTATGGTGTTCTTGGGATGCAACTCAGTATTCTTCTTCCTCCAAACACGACGAGTTGAGTTTATACCAAAAAGTTCTACTTTGGTTTCATCCGACCACATGACATTCTCCCAATCCTCTGCTGTATCATCCATGTGCTCTCTGGCAAACTTCAGACGGGCCTGGACATGCACTGGTTTCAGCAGCGGAACACGTCTGGCACTGCGGGATTTGATTCCCTGCCGTTGTAGTGTGTTACTGATGGTGACCTTTGTTACTTTGGTCCCAGCTCTCTGCAGGTCATTCACCAGGTCCCCCCGTGTGGTTCTGGGATCTTTGCTCACCGTTCTCATGATCATTTTGACCCCACGGGATGAGATCTTGCGTGGAGCCCCAGATCGAGGGAGATTATCAGTGGTCTTGTATGTCTTCCATTTTCTGATGATTGCTCCCACAGTTGATTTTTTCACACCAAGCTGCTTGCCTATTGTAGATTCACTCTTCCCAGTCTGGTGCAGGTCTACAATACTTTTCCTGGTGTCCTTCGAAAGCTCTTTGGTCTTGGCCATGGCGGAGTTTGGAGTCTGACTGTTTGAGGCTGTGGACAGGTGTCTTTTATACAGATGATGAGTTCAAACAGGTGCCATTCATACAGGTAACGAGTGGGGGACGGATAAGCTTCTTACAGAAGACGTTACAGGTCTGTGAGAGCCTGAGATTTTCCTTGTTTGAGGTGACCAAATACTTATTTTCCACCCTAATTTACGAATAAATTCTTTACAAATCCTACCATGTGGATTCATGGATTTTTTTTTTCACATTCTGTCTCTCACAGTTGAAGTGTACCTCTGGTGCAAATTACTGACCTCTGTCATCATTTTAAGTGGGGGAACTTGCACAATCGGTGGCTGACTAAATACTTTTTTGCCCCACTGTACATTATGCAAGTATGTGCACATGACACTGCATTTGTGTAATCATGAACTTTAGCACTGTCTCACCTTGACTGTTCTAGATACACTTCTGCTTCTGCTTTGGTGTTTTTTCCTGTTAGTAACCTTATTGTTTTCATCCACTTTCACTACTCACATGACATCGTTTTCAGGCAGTAGATTTTATTATTTTAAAAATACTACCTGTTTAGACAGAGACAATTAATTTGTAATAATAATAATAACACATAGTTGGATATTATCATTTCTAAGAGGATATTCCCTCAAAAGTTACCAAGAATAAACAGAGTGAAAAGAGAGCTGCACTGGACCAGTTTATCACTATGCAACTCTGGTTCTGTTTGATGTGTAAATAATGGATTGTTACTATGCCTGATTCATTGACACATGCACAAACAAACATGAAAATACAGTACATAAGGCAAAAACAGAGTTTATACAAATCTAACAAGCTTAAAAGTCAATATTTGATCAATTGACCACATTTATTCTCTATTCCCCACAGCTTGAACTCTCGTAAACAAGCTTTGTTGTCATTTCTGTAAGAAGTCTCTAGTCTTCCTGAAGAACACTCAACATTCTCCTTTGGATCTTGGCTGGCTTTTGTTCTCGTCTCTGTCAAGATGATCCCACACTGTTTCTGATCAATGACAGCCATACTGAGATGAAATGTTGAGGACATGTTGAACCGTCAGTAACTGCAGCTGTTTTTGCTGCTGTTAGCTGTTGCTTACTGGTGTTAATGAAACCTTCTTTGAAGTGAACGTAACTTTATTGAACTGTGACACATGACGTAAACTGTTATGCAAGAATTTAGTTATACTGTTTATGAGAGGGAACTCTTGATATATGACTGACAGCGGTTGCTTGTCTCTATGTGTGTTGGTGTGATCCCCATGAAGGACTAGCCAGCTGTGCAGCTAGCATACTGTTAGCTTATAACCAGCCTTTTCATTGCCCAAGCACTATTTTATGCCTGTTTTCTTTGGTATTTTCATAGATTAATGCTTGAACGATTCAAAGGTCAGTGATAAGGGACTCAGCAAATGACAAAACATTGCTCTGATAATGGTTAGGCACAAGGGCTGACTAAAAATGAGTGAAAAAGCAGACAATTACATACTCAGAAATAATGGAGAACTGTTGTTTAAGAACAACAAATAAGAAAAATTAAGAAGAATCACACACACACACACACACACACACACACACACACACACACACACACACACACACACACACACACACACACACACACACAACATATCACAATGTTTCTAACGATATATTTAGGAATCCAAAAAGTCATCTTAAGTTAATTTGGTGAGTTTGATATGCTTTGCTTATAATGTTTTTATTATTATTCTGTTTTGTTGTTTTTCTTTTCATTATGGACTTTCTGATAAGGCTTTTTTGTTTTGCTTTTTCTGGAAGGTGAAACTGAAAGAACAGGTGGCTTCATTCAACCTGCAAATGTCAGAGAAGGAGCTGACTCAGCTTCCTGTGAATTCTGTAAGATAAATGAAAACTGTGATTATTCCCACACTCCCATAACCATTTACATCCCAGTTTTGGTGATTCGCAGTTACTGTTCAAGTTTCATGTGAAATGACTCAGTGAACAGTGACTAGCGATTTTAACCAGATGACGTCATGACTCATTTATAAAATGTAATTTATTTCGATCATGTAAGCAATATCCATCAAGCAAAGCACAGTATTAAAATTTAGACCACACTCTGGGTTTTCTGTAGAATTCCTTCATCTTCCTGGCTCGGCCACTCACGCCTCCCAGGAGTATCCAGCAGCATCGTTACATGAACGAGCTTCAGATTCAAATAGACAGACGACAGAAATTCAAGGCTCAAGAAGAACAGGAACGTCGTGTCACGGAGTGTTTAGACCAGCTACATCTGATTAAGGGGTGTGTAAAGGTGCCACAAGCCAGATGTTTCAAATAATCATATGTTGTGATCACAAATACATCATGTAATGTTTACCTGTGTGATTTAGAGTAGCTTTGCAGCAAGCCCAGCAACTCCAACGTAAACGGGAAAAGGCTAAGCAATACAAGAGTGCTCTGGACACCCAGGCAAGTCAAAGTTACTTTCAAACTTGACACAAAGGCACAAATTCTTGCTAAGAATTGTGTTCAGTCGCCAGTGTTGGGAAGGTTACTTTTAAAATGTATTCCATTACAGATTACAGAATACATGCCCCAAAATGTATTCTGTAACATATTCCGTTACGTTACTCGATGAGAGTAACGTATTCTGAATACTTTGAATTACTTAATATATGCTGTTTACAACTACGTGAATGTACTATTGCTGTGATTTATTACTGTTACTGACGGTCCGCGGCTCCGAACTGTAGTAAAGGGACCTCTGGCTAATACGTCGGGTTCGTGTCGGGCTTGTAGCTGAAAACTAGCTTTACTTTGTTGTCTGGGTCAACTTTGTTAGCCAGAGACAGAGAGAGGCGTTGAAAGGCTGCTCCAACGGAACTTATTGTTTCGGAGGAAAACACGAACACGGTGTACAGTCGAGTCTTAACAGCTTACTTACAGCTGGACTCGTCAGACACTCTTCTTGGCTGAAGTGGTTATTATTATATTTACATGCTTCCAGCTCCCGTTTCTGCTCAATGACAGCTCGTACTTTTCCTTTTTCTCCCTCCCTCGCTCACAAACACATAACGGGTATGGCAGTCCATTCTCCCTGCAGCACGGACTACACTGCCCATGAGGCTACGTTCTTTAGAGCTATACCTGTAGCATTCTCCCTATTAGCTTAGCACAACAACAACAAGGCGCTCTCTCACCCAGGAAACACGCAGAGAGAGCGTCACCCTGTAACCATGGCAACCGTAACGCTGCCGCCTGGAACAACAGAACAGCTGTCAAACAAAACCCAAACTGTCAAGGCTCGGCTGTGTGGCAGGCAGGAGGAGGACCCAAAATGCAAAACTCACACAAACGGGGATGAACTCAAAAGGCAGCTTTATTGCTGAAGAGGCAGAACATAGGAAATACAAAACTAAACTGGGAAAAGTAAACTAACACTCGGAGAGAGAGACACAGGGAAATCCACGCAGCATGAGGGACGACGTCACACTGAACAGAGGGAGACGCAGACAGAAATACACAGAGGGTTAACGAGGGAAGTGGGAACACACGGGGAACACAGGTGACACTGATAATCATAACGAGACAGGGCGGGGTGAACTGAACACTGACGGGAGAGGTGAAACAGGAAGTACAGGAGGAGAGAGAGCACGAGTAGAACACCAACGTAACAGGCAGGGGAGACATGGAATAAACACGAAAGGGGACGAGGGCTCATGAATACATAGAGGGGCACACGGGGGGTGAGAGTCACAAAGGGAAAGCACACAGGGAACCACATAATAGGGCAACTCAGGAAACAGAACCTAAACAGGGAACTGAATACAAAAATACAAGAAAACTAAGAACACTGGGCCAACATGGCCCAGGACCATGACAGTACCCCCCCCTCAAGGGCTGGCTCCAGACAGCCCAAACACAGAGAAACAAAACCAAACAGAAAACAACCCAGGGCGGGCGGCGGGGGCCCAGGACGGAGGGCACGGAACAGAAAACAAAAGAGCACAGCAAACACCGGAGCCCAAGAAAATAACCCAAACACAGAGCAGTTCAGGGGGCCGACCGTGCGGAAGGCAACGGCGGCGACGTGGAAACAGTTCAGGAGGCCGACCGTGCGCAAGGCAACGGCGGCGACGTGGAAACAGTTCAGGAGGCCGACCGTGCGGAAGGCAACGGCGGAGACGTGGAAACAGTTCAGGAGGCCGACCGCGCGGAAGGCAACGGCGGCGGCGAAGGAGACGACGGAGCAGTTCAGGAGGCCGACCGCGCGGAAGGCAGCGGCGGCGGCGAAGGAGACGACGGAGCAGTTCAGGAGGCCGACCGCGCGGAAGGCAGCGGCGGCCCTCCAGTCTCAGGCGTGCTGGCCATGGCCTGGTGGGCACAGGGCCAGACGAGGCAGAAGCGGAGGCCGGACCAGACGAGGCAGCTGATGAGGAGGCTGGACCAGACGAGGCAGCTGATGAGGAGGCTGGACCAGACGAGGCAGCTGATGAGGAGGCTGGACCAGACGAGGCAGCTGATGAGGAGGCTGGACCAGACGAGGCAGCTGATGAGGAGGCTGGACCAGACGAGGCAGCTGATGAGGAGGCTGGACCAGACGAGGCAGCTGATGAGGAGGCTGGACCAGACGAGGCAGCTGAAGAGGCGGCTGGACCAGACGAGGCAGCTGAAGAGGCGGCTGCAGCAGACGAAGGCTCTGAAGAGGCGGCTGCAGCAGACGAAGGCTCTGAAGAGGCGGCTGCAGCAGACGAAGGCTCTGAAGAGGCGGCTGCAGCAGACGAAGGCTCTGAAGAGGCGGCTGCAGCAGACGAAGGCTCTGAAGAGGCGGCTGCAGCAGCAGACGAAGGCTCTGAAGAGGAGGCTGCGGCAGACGAAGGCGCTGAAGAGGAGGCTGCGGCAGACGAAGGCGCTGAAGAGGAGGCTGCGGCAGACGAAGGCGCTGAAGAGGAGGCTGCGGCAGACGAAGGCGCTGAGGCCGGGCCAGGCGAGGTTGCAGAGGCTGAGGCCGGGCCAGGCGAGGTTGCAGAGGCTGAGGCCGGGCCAGGCGAGGTTGCAGAGGCTGAGGCCGGGCCAGGCGAGGTTGCAGAGGCTGAGGCCGGGCCAGGCGAGGTTGCAGAGGCTGAGGCCGGGCCAGGCGAGGTTGCAGAGGCTGAGGCCGGGCCAGGCGATGACGAGGCGGTCGCAGATGGCGGCTGGACAGGCTCCTCGGGCCCTCCAGCTGATGCGGCGTGAGGCTGAACGGGCCCCTCGGACCCTCCAGCGGAGACGGGAGGCTGAACGGGCCCCTCGGACCCTCCAGCGGAGACGGGAGGCTGAACGGGCCCCTCGGACCCTCCAGCGGAGACGGGAGGCTGAACGGGCCCCTCGGACCCTCCAGCGGAGACGGGAGGCTGAACGGGCCCCTCGGACCCTCCAGCGGAGACGGGAGGCTGAACGGGCCCCTCGGACCCTCCAGCGGAGACGGGAGGCTGAACGGGCCCCTCGGACCCTCCAGCGGAGACGAGGAGGTGCTGGCCGGGCTCACTGGAACCCCCAGCGGACGAGGTAGATGGCGGCGTGGGAGCCGCGGAGTCCTGGATGAGCTCATCCGAGCTTCCAGCAGGAGCCGATGTAGAGCCAGAGAGGATTGGGACCCCGGGCTCAATGTTAAGCTGGCTAAAAAACCGCACTGCTACGGGGAACTGGGCCAAAGGTTCAGGTGCGAGCTGAGCTGCCGGACACACGGGGACCTGAGCTGCCGGACACACGGGGACCTGAGCTGCCGGACACACGGGGACCTGAGCTGCCGGACACACGGGGACCTGAGCTGCCGGACACACGGGGACCTGAGCTGCCGGACACACGGGGACCTGAACTGATGTCTGTAGTAACGGTGGTGGTGAGAGTGGAGTAGGTGGTGGAGTTAATGACTCCACAGGGGAATGAACTAGAGGTAGTGACGGTTGTGGTGCTGGTGGTTGAGTGGGTGACTGTGCCACTGGGGGCTGCACTGGAGGCTGCACTGGAGGCTGCACTGGAGGCTGCACTGGAGGCTGCAGTGATGGTTGTAAAGTTGGAAACCGGGCTGACGATAAGGCCGATGATTCCTCTACCAACTGAGCTATTGACTGGGCTAAAGATTGAAATAAGGTTTGTAGTAAGTCAGGCTGTGGATTTGACTGTGCTATGGGAAACGAGGCTGAATGTGGTGGAGGTGGCGACTGAGCTTCGGGCCGGGCGGCTAACAGAGATTCATGGCGAGCCACTCCTAGCGACTCTGTAGGCCTTAAGCTGTCCATCTTAGGAGTAGCAGTCTCTAAAACAGTCATTGCACAGGAAGATCCAGGTTTAGCAGAGTCAGAGTCTGTAATACCGGGCACAAAGGGATCCGTTATGGACACAGGAGCATCCACACAGACCGTTTCTAAATATACAGGTTGGGGAGCAGCATAGTCCAGGAGTGGAGACACACCACTCACAGTCTCACACTCAGCAGGTACAGAGACCGCAGAACTGTTAACTTCACAGTGCTGTTCACAAGTATGCGGCTCAAAAACGGTCTTTTGCTTCTCTACGGTGAAATAATCTGTCTGTGAGTTAATTGCTGCTGACCTGGGAGGAGCACAGGAAACATAGTCGCTCTCAAACACGGGCGTGAGGGTAGGCACTGCAGGACCAGAATTAACAGACCCAGAGTTAATGGCCTCAGGGATGACGCGCACGGGGCTTATAGTGCCAGGATTCTTTAATTTAGCATGAACAGCAGTCTCTAGAGTGGTGATGAAGTCAGTCTCGTGCGTAATAGAAGCGGAGGCGAACGTAGAAACAGTATGAGGCCTAGAAACACGGTCATATTCAACCTTTTTGTTCTTCTCTGGTGAGTTACGGACGTGAAAAACAGCGGACTCAGAAAACGAATACTGTCCGAGACGGTCGGGCTTGGAACTCGCATGGAAAAAACAGTCAGATTCACTCACCACCGGAGCTTGCTCAGTAGCTTTAGCGTGGCGACGGCGTGAGCGTCGTGTTTTCCCGGGAACTGTGCCGTGAGTTCCCGAGGCAGTGGGCGCAGGCACTTCGGTGATGTCGGCTGGCTGAGCCGATGACGAACCAGGCTGCGCCGGAGAGACAGGGAGCTTGTGCAGCTCCGAGCGTGGAAGTCCCAGGTAGAGCGCAAAAGCCTGCAGCGGGGTAAGGCCGTTTGTCGTCGGCTCGAAACCACTCCCCGACCGCCGAGTAACCCTCTTCTTTGCGCGGACGTGGGCGGCGACCGGAGAGGCGAACCAGAAGTCGAAAATGCCGGAGGAGTTGTGGCAGGCGATAGGCTGACTCCTCCAACTCTTCTTACCGTGGGACGGTGTGGGGAAAAAGCAGCAGCGTTTGCAGTTTGGAGGCTGCGCGGCCCACCTAGAGCCAATCGAGTCCCATAGAAGGCAGACTCGCGCTCCCGGGCATGCCGAGCCTCCTGCCCTCTCCTCTCGTTAGGGAAGGCGGGGTCTGCTCGCTGCCGGTTCCGTAGGGAGTTTGCTGGGTCCATTACTGGTGACGTCGTACTGTCAAGGCTCGGCTGTGTGGCAGGCAGGAGGAGGACCCAAAATGCAAAACTCACACAAACGGGATGAACTCAAAAGGCAGCTTTATTGCCGAAGAGGCAGAACATAGGAAATACAAAACTAAACTGGGAAAAGTAAACTAACACTCGGAGAGAGAGACACAGGGAAATCCACGCAGCATGAGGGACGACGTCACACTGAACAGAGGGAGACGCAGACAGAAATACACAGAGGGTTAACGAGGGAAGTGGGAACACACGGGGAACACAGGTGACACTGATAATCATAACGAGACAGGGCGGGGTGAACTGAACACTGACGGGAGAGGTGAAACAGGAAGTACAGGAGGAGAGAGAGCACGAGTAGAACACCAACGTAACAGGCAGGGGAGACATGGAATAAACACGAAAGGGGACGAGGGCTCATGAATACATAGAGGGGCACACGGGGGGTGAGAGTCACAAAGGGAAAGCACACAGGGAACCACATAATAGGGCAACTCAGGAAACAGAACCTAAACAGGGAACTGAATACAAAAATACAAGAAAACTAAGAACACTGGGCCAACATGGCCCAGGACCATGACACAAACAGTCCTGACCCGCAACAATATGAAACAGGAAAGTACCGCCGTGTAATCCATTTATTTCAACAAAGTAACTGTATTCTAAATACCACCTTATTAAACGGTAACTGTAACGGAATACAGTTACTCATATTTTGTATTTTAAATACGTAACGGCGGTACATGTATTCCGTTACTCCCCAACACTGTCAGTCGCATAGTCTTGGTAGCGAATTTGGAATGAATTCAGCGCAAGCAATTATCGGTATGAAACTAATGTACCATATTAAAAAAATTTTCCATAGTCCATAAACGGTTACAAAAAAAAGTTACAAAAACTCACGGGTGAGGCTTTGGACCTCTAAACACAGCACGCAAAACTTATAGGGAGAATGTAGGGAAACTGTCCAGAAAAGTAGTTTTCACGTTTTTGTCATGTGACCATCTGCATTCAGTCTAAAATCTAAAATCAGACTGTTAATTTGCCCTTAGATGTCTGAAAAGAAGCGCGCAGAACCTCCAGATTACCACCCTGACAGCTCCACGTTCAGCCGCCGTGAGACAGCAGCGTGCAAAGCAGAAAGCCGCGAAAGGGCGCAGAAGGTCACCATCCCTCCATAACAGTTTAACATTTCACTGTTAGCCTTATCATACTGCAACAACATTAGTCATACTTGCTCTGTGCGTATTCGGTCCATTGTTGTATTAAAACTGCGACGTGTGATGCGTTTCACACTGACAGATCTTCCAGGTAAATTTTAGTGCTGCCACCAAGAGAACGAAAGAACTGCACAACCAACAGGCACAGCTGGAGAAGGAAAAGGAGATGTTGAGACGCAATAAAATGGAGTAAGTAAAGGCAAATAAAAGAAATGGACCAAAAAGAACATGTAAGGAAAAAGAAGACATAATAACTGTGAAACGTACTTTCTTCTTCTCGTGGTTTCGTTTCTGTCCAGGCTAATGCACGATCGTATCAAACGCTTTGAGAAGATGCAGGACATCAGCAAGTCACTAGAGCAAGACTGGAGTCGCAGTGTGAAGCACAAATACCAGCAAGAGGAAGACGAGAGGCGCTTTCGGAGGTGTGCGGGGGCAGGATCACACTAACTTTTATAGTTAGTAAAATACAGCATCTCTTTGATCCATGATGTAATTACTGACACTGATCTTCTAAGAGCCTCTGGACCTCTAATGAATCAGAGTCCAAAATTTACTCTTTTTTTTAGCCCTATTTTTGAGTCTTACTGCCTCCTGGGGGACATATTTGCCTCTTTAGCTGCTTGATGCTCCTCTTTGTTTGCCAGATAGTCATTAAATCTATGTCTGTTGTCTATTTCTTCCAGTCTTTTATATCTTTTTCACTAAATACACAAATATATTAAAGTTGATGTCTGATGCATGATACACATATGAGAAAGAAAGTGCACCTTCTTTCAATTCTAAGGTTTTATGTATCAGCACATAATACATTTGGTCCTGCAGGTTATGAAATTACTTCAGTATATTCAGATGAACAGCACATATCCTCCTAAAACCAAGAAATTCATTCTCGGGTGACAGAAGCCTGAGACCTCTATACGTGATGGCACCCAGAGTCGATTATGGCTCCCTGCTCCCCTGCCATTGATTTAAATAAATAATATTTATGCTGGTGGCCAAAATATTTCATAAAACTGTTATTAGGCAATCAGGTTTTTGGAAATGTTAGAGCTCAAAAACTGCAGGAAGGTTCGTATCTGAAGGCAGGTTAAAATCTGAAAGCTTTCCTCAATGTATCTGTGTACATGGCATGACTCAGATACCCTAGTATCCAGACATACTGGGTCATTTTCATAGCAAGTTCAATAAATTAAGCTTCTTCAAGATTAGGCAATCGGTCAAAGTAACAAATGATGGAAAATATTAATCACTTTGTGAATCTTCAGAATTTGTGAAGTGGAGTCAAATATATTCTGGTAAGGGATGAGGCAGAGAATTACATTATAGCACGAATCGAGTAAAAGTTAGGATTTTTTGTATTGAGGGGGAACTGTGGAGTTGGGTGCTACTCCTCTGTTATTTACTACAAGCACAAACTTTCACATCAGTTCTGAAAGATCGTACGGTTACGGTGTAACCTTGGTTCTCTTAGTGAGAGACTATCTCTGCACCGTGAGGCCACTCGGAGACGCGTTCCGATCAAACAATCACCGGTGTCACGTCTGCACAGCTGTTTTATACGTATGCTGTGGGGCGTAGCCGGGCGTGCCGGAGTGTCTTAAAGAAATATCCACGCGCCACGACCAAGGGGGGTCGTACCCTGTACATATGGAATACGTAACGGTGTGGAGAGATAGTCTCGACATGCTAGAGAACTCTAAATCAAATAATCATTCCACATGCAAATCACAAATCTCTACAATAGAAAAAAATAGATGTCACATATTCTCCTTTACATTTCTTTTCACACTTTGAGCTTTAACTGTTTCTCCTTTAATTATGTTGCACCCAGACTGGAAAATAAATTCTGGAAAATGGTAGCGAATGGACACATGCACTAGTTTCTCTGATTTTTTTTTCCCTCACAGTCTCAACTTGAACATGTCCATCATTCAAAATACAGCTCATAATAATTCTGTCTCCCTGTGGTTAGGTCTGCTGGTCTCCTCCTGGTTGATAAGCTTGCAGAGTACAGGCGATGTAGCCAGTGTAAGAGGAGAACCACCAACTATGGAGAGACCAACATCTGGAAAGACTCTCATTACCTGTCTGGTACACAGTTCATGATCTGAGGACATGAATGTGAATAAACAACCAAACCTCAACTTATTGTGTGATGATTACCTAAACAAAAATTACAAGGTTATGTACATTGGTGTGAAAAAGTGATCGCCCCTTCCTGATTTCCTATTTTTGTATGTTTGTCACACTTAAATGTTTCAGATCATCAAAGAGATTTAAATATTAGACAAACATAACACAAGTAAACACAAAAGGTGATTTGACTAGGCCACTCCAACATCTTTATTTAGTTTTTCCTAAGAAATTCAGAGATGGACTTGCTGGTGTGTTTGGGATCATTGTCCTGCTGCACAACCCAAGTGTGCTTCAGCTTGAGGTTACGAAGAGATGGTCAGACATTTTGGTAGAAAGCCAGAATTCCTGCTTCCATTTGCCACAGCAGGTCTTCCAGGTCCTGAGGCAGCAGATCAACCCCAGACAACCAAACTGCCACCACCATATTTTACCAGATCATTTCATTTTTATCATCCATCCATCTTCTTCCGCTTATCCGGGGCTGGGTTTTGGGGGCAGCAGCCCAAGCAGAGAAGCCCAGACCTCCATCTCCCCAGCCACCTCCTCCAGCTTGTCTGGGGAAACATCAAGGCGTTCCCAGGCCAGCCGAGAGATATAATCTCTCCAGTGTGTCCTGGCTCTGCTCCGGTGCCTCCTCCCAGCATGTCCCTGGCATATTTTATCAGATCATTTCATTTTTATCACGTCATCATATTTATACGTTGTTCCTTTTCTAAAATGCTGTGTTAGTTTTATGCCAGATGTAACAGGACTCCAACCTTCCTTTTCATGATCTGAAACATGTAAGAGGGACAAATACGAAAAACACTAGGAAATCAGGAAGAGGGCAAACACTTTTTTTAAACCACTGTATATATGATACTTTAATGGTGTGATGTTCAGGGTGCTGTTGTTTTTCTAAATTATTTTTGCTACCCATTTTTGCATGTTAGAAAACTCTCCTCTAACCATAATCTCTTCATTTCTCTGATATGTTACACATGATGACTGTCCTGTACCACTGTTTCTTGAATAGACACAGATAAATGCAGCTACATGTCTCTCTCTTCTTTGCTGGCTGGTAGATTTTTATGAAAATAGTCTGTGTTTGGGCAATAATCGTCTTATGAAGAAGGCACAAGCAGTTAGGTCCATAAGTGGACAATGACAGCATTTAAAATCCACCACACTGGACTTTAAATCCATGAATCCATGAATCAGGATGTGATAGAAGTGCAGACTTTCTGCTTTAATTTAAGGGGTTTAACAAAACTTTTGCATTAGTAGGAATTATTATTATTCCCTCATTTTCATAGGCTCAAACATAACTCAACAACCTACCATAACTACACAAACTAACTACAGTACAAGGACTGTCTTAATACTGGAATGTAAATCCTTTGTTTTCAGTAACTCCCTGAAGTCACTGACTGCAAATAAAAATTACCTGTTTGTACCACATTCTAAAGCTGTGGGATAGGATGTTCATTTTTATTCTCCCTCATGTGCTTCGATACTTCCATGTAATAAACACAAGTATTCCATAAAAAGTGCTTGTGGTAAACTTGATTGTTGCTTTTTTTGTATTCTTAAAAGATTTATGATCACATGGAAAGCATTTTATACTGGGTTAGTCACTTTTACTTCAAATGGAACTTATATTCCTGATATTCTGTTTATTTCTGTTAACATTGCTGTTTTTTTGTTGCTGTTTTTTTTATATGAGCATTGGGCCTGAGTTGACAGTAGCAGCGATTCAGACTGAAAACAGCAGGAAAAGAAAGAAAGGAAAAGAAAAAAAACGTGGGACATTTCAGGTGTTTGTTTTAAGCTTCACCAGACCCAAGACATCGCACGGAAGTTTGCATTACTCACAGACAAGATTTTACAACTTAAAGGTCAAGCTGTCAACTATTATCTTTAGCGACATCAATCACAAGGTTTAAGAAAAGAAAATGATACACGTTATCCTGCTTTGTTTGTGCCAGAGCGGAAAATCCCAACTGAATTTACAGCTGCTTTGTTTTTGTTTTTTATTTGACCTTAACTGTGACCGTTATTCACTGCTGAGGGTGAGCTGCTTGTACATGTACTGAACATGTCTAGTGTTTGCATGCATGCAGCCAGTTTCTTTTTTAAATGTTAGATCATTTTGAATACAGCTGAAATGCAGCGACACCTACCGAATTTTCCTACAATACCTTATAACCACGGACAACTGCTCGGGACTCCAGGCCAGTGGAGGGCCTCCAAGAGCCGACAAACTTCAAGGTGCAGCAGTAAAAAGGTGCAGTTTGCAGCGACAGCAGGAGAGACCTGGCCTGCCCCACCTCACTTGTTTCACTCACTTTAAAAGTGAAAGGCATGATTTTGTTCAGCTCTACTTTCAATGGCACGCAGTCTTTGCATATGGAGGTCATAATAGAAACACTTCCTCAGTATTTTCAGAGTAAGAAAATGTTTACATTTCATATTTGGTTTGTTCATGTTAAAATATTTATAACGTGACTTCTGTTACAGCTCACAGGCTTGAGCAGACGATTCAATTCAATTCAATTCAATTCAATTTTATTTATATAGCGCCAAATCACAACAAAAGTCGCCTCAAGGCGCTTCATAGATACAGAGAAAAACCCAAACAATCATATGACCCCCTATGAGCAAGCACTTTGGCAACAGTGGGAAGGAAAAACTCCCTTTTAACAGGAAGAAACCTCCGGCAGAACCAGGTTCGGGGGGGGGGGCATCTGCTGCGACCGGTTGGGGTGAGAGAAGGAAGACAGGATAAAAGACATGCTGTGGAAGAGAGACAGAGGTTAATAACAGATATGATTCAATGCAGAGAGGTCTATTAACACATAGTGAGTGAGAAAGGTGGCTGGAAAGGAAAAACTCAATGCATCATGGGAATCCCCCGGCAGCCTACGTCTATTGCAGCATAACTAAGGGAGGATGCAGGGTCACGTGGTCCAGCCCTAACTATATGCTTTAGCAAAAAGGAAAGTTTTAAGCCTAATCTTGAAAGTAGAGATAGTGTCTGTCTCCTGAATCCAAACTGGAAGCTGGTTCCACAGAAGAGGGGCCTGAAAACTGAAGGCTCTCCCTCCCATTCTACTTTTAAATACTCTAGGAACAACAAGTAGGCCTGCAGAGCGAGAGCGAAGTGCTCTAATAGGGTGATATGGTACTACAAGGTCATTAAGATAAGATGGGGCCTGATTATTTAAGACCTTGTATGTGAGGAGCAGGACTTTGAATTCAATTCTGGATTTAACAGGAAGCCAATGAAGGGAAGCCAAAACAGGAGACATATGCTCTCTCTTTCTAGTCCCTGTCAGGACTCTTGCTGCAGCATTTTGGATTAGCTGAAGGCTTTTCAGTGAGTTTTTTGGACATCCTGATAATAATGAATTACAGTAGTCCAGCCTGGAAGTAATAAATGCATGAACTAGTTTTTCAGCGTCACTCTGAGACAGGATATTTCTAATTTTAGAGATGTTGCGCAAACGGAAGAACACAGTCTTACATATTTGTTTAATATGTGCGTTGAAGGACATATCCTGGTCAAAAATGACTCCAAGGTTCCTCACAGCGTTACTGGAGGCCAAGGTAATGCCATCCAGAGAAAGAATCTGGTTAGATACCATATTTCTAAGCTTTTCAGGGCCGAGTACAATAATCTCAGTTTTATCTGAATTAAGAAGCAGAAAGTTAGCGGCCATCCAGGTCTTTATGTCTTTAAGACATCCCCGCAGTTTAACAAATTGGCCTGTGTTATCTGGCTTCATGGACAGATAGAGCTGGGTGTCATCTGCATAGCACTGAAAATGTATGCTATGTCTTCTAATGATACTGCCTAAGGGAAGCATGTATAATGTAAACAGAATTGGTCCTAGCACTGAACCCTGTGGAACTCCATAATTAACCTCAGTGTGTGAAGAGGACTCTCCATTTACATGCACAAATTGGAGTCTATTAGATAGATATGATACAAACCACTGCAGTGCAGTACCTGTAATACCTACAGCATGTTCTAATCGCTCTAATAGGATATTATGGTCAACAGTATCGAATGCTGCACTAAGGTCTAGCAGGACAAGCACAGAGATGAGTCCACTGTCAGAGGCCATAAGAAGATCATTTGTAACCTTCACTAAAGCTGTTTCTGTGCTGTGATGAGCTCTGAAACCTGACTGAAACTCTTCAAATAAACCATTACTCTGCAGATGATCTGTTAGCTGTTTGACAACTACTCTTTCAAGGATTTTTGATATGAAAGGAAGGTTGGAGATTGGCCTATAATTAGCTAAGACTGCTGGGTCTAGAGATGGCTTTTTGAGTAAAGGTTTAACTACAGCTAGCTTGAAGGCCTGTGGTACATAGCCGATCATTAGAGATAGGTTGATCATATTTAAGATTGAAGAATTAATTAATGGCAGGACTTCTTTGAGCAGTTTTGTAGGAATGGGGTCAAAAAGACACGTTGATGGTTTGGAGAAAGTAATTATTGAAGTTAACTCAGAAAGATCAATTAGAGAAAAAGAGTCTAACTTAACATCGATGGTACTAAGAGTAGCTGTGGATAATATTACATCTGTGGGATGATTACTGGTAATTTTTTCTCCATCCATCCATCCATTCGCTTCCGCTTATCCTTTTTCAGGGTCGCGGGGGGCGCTGGAGCCTATCCCAGCTGTCATAGGGCGAAAGGCGGGGTACACCCTGGACAGGTCGCCAGTCTGTCGCAGGGCTAACACACAGGGACAGACAACCATTCACACTCACATTCACTCGTAATTTTTTCTCTAATGATAAAAATTGTATTTGTGAAGAAGTTCATGAAGTCATTACTAGTTAACGTTAAAGGGATTGTTGGCTCAAAAGAGCTCTAGCTTTTTGTCAGCCTGGCTACAGTGCTGAAGAGAAACCTGGGGTTGTTCTTATTTTCTTCAATCAGTGATGAATAGTAAGATGTTCTGGCTTTGTGGAGGGCTTTCTTATAAAGC